AAAAAAAAAAAAAAAACAAAGGAATGGTAAACCTTGTGACAGCACATCAGGCACTACTGCGCCGCCTGATGAAGTCTGCCGGCGTCTTACCACACACCGTCCAAATCAATGCCGGCACCGTCATCAACATCTGGGCCCCATCCGACACCCTCGACAAGCCTGCAGTGGTGCTCGTCCACGGTTTCTCCGCCGACGGAATCATGACGTGGCAGTTCCAGGTTGGCCCCCTGAGCAAGAAATACGCCGTGTACGTGCCGGACCTCCTCTTCTTCGGGGGATCGGCTACGGACAGCCCCGACCGGTCACCGGAGTTCCAGGCGGAGTGCCTGGCCGAGGCCCTGAGGTCGCTGGGCGTCCAGCGGTACACGGTGGTGGGGTTCAGCTACGGGGGCGTGGTGGCGTTGAAGATGGCGGGGATGTGGCCGGATCTGGTGGCAGCGGCGGTGGTCTCCGGGTCGGTGGTGGAGATGACGGAGTCGAGCAGCAGTGCTATAGTGGAAGAGCTGGGGTTTTCGTCACTGTCTGAGTTTTTGCTCCCGACAAGTGTGAAGGAGTGTAGGGAGCTTTTTAAGGTGGCGGTTCACCGGAAGTTCTGGTTTCCAGATCGCCTCTACGGAGACTTTCTCAAGGTGTCCTTCCTTTGTTAGATACTACTCATTATTGTTTTTAATCTTGTCAAGGTATATAAATATTTCGTTATTTAATTAATTAATTTAGTTAGGTATACGATCTCAATTCATGTACTTTATATTTCAAATAGTTGTTTTAACTTTTAAGGAGTGGAATACAAATTCATCAAAGTATTGCTTATGATATATAATGAGGGAGATTCTACGGTCCCGTTACGGAACTATTACGTTGGGATTTGTAACTGGTAGATCAACTATCCATGAGGGTTACATGATGATCTAACGATTACAAATCCCGACGGAATAGTTCCGTAACGGGACTGTAGTATTTTTCCATAATATATATAACTTACAATTTTTTTTTTTTTTACATATATGAATGTGCACAAGTTTTGAGAACTAATTTGTGCTAAATACATGCTAAACACATGTTAATTTTTATGCTAAATCTTGTTTTCAATAATGAACAGGTGATGTTCTACAATAGAAAGGAAAGGGCTGAACTACTTGAAGGCCTAGTGGTCACCACCAAAGATAAGGCCCTTCCTAACTTTACTCAGGTATCTTCATATTATCACTAACATTATGAAAGAAACATAAATTTTAACATCATAAATAATATGTTCCATTTACTCTTATTTTATTATATTTTTAATTTATTTAAATGCAGAGAATACATCTTCTTTGGGGAGAGAATGACCAAATATTCAAAATGGAACTTGCTAGGGATATGAAACAGTAAATTTACTTGCTCATAATATCAAATTATATGGAGAGCCCTTCTCAAACATATTTATGTATGAATTTTTATTTTATTTTATTGAATTGAAATTGTACAGACAGCTTGGTGAAAAGACTACACTACAGGGTATAAAGAAAGCAGGTCATCTAGTTCACCTGGAAAGACCATGTGTCTACAATAGATGTCTTAAGGAGTTTCTTGCTTCCTTGCATGCTACAGATGATGAAGCTCGAAAATGAATCTTTGAAGCACGTAATTTTTTCGATTTAAAACCTCGGCCGGTATGGTTTCCATGTAACAGACCTTTTTATCCTTTCCCTTTTAAGGAAAAGAATATTTGAAATGTGCACCATCATAAATTCAGACCCTAAATTCGATTCATTCGCCGTCTTGTAATCAATATCATGTAGGGATATACAAATTGATCATCGCACATTACGTGAATGAATATGTGTGAATTGCGAAATTGCATGCACAATAGTATGCACTAGGAGCAAAAGTTGTCTGGGGATAGTCGAGAGGAGCTGAAGCTGTACATTTGCATCGCAGACACTATCGTCTAAAGGAAAATTGAATTTCTTCTAGAGTTTTCCCTTTGGTCTCAGGAACCCACATTGTCACGAATAACAGAGTAAATGCCGATACTAATGAATAAACAGCGAAAGTTCCTGTCGAAGTATAAATGAACTAACAGTTCATATGCTGTGAATTATTAACTCGGAAAGAAGAAAGAAAATGTTCAGAGAGAGAGAGAGAGAGAGAACCTCCGCTACTCCAAGTTAGGAGTAAATTAGCCGTCATTGTAATGATTGATGCCGATAGCCAATTGGCTAATGTAGCCACGCTTCCAGCAAGACTCTTTATGCTTACCGGGAGAATCTAAAACCATAAAAACTTAAGCCTCATTTTACACCTTTTAAGTGAGTGAATATAAAATCAAACACACGAATCTTCGGTATATATAAAGATGGGTTGCCTAATAGCATGTCGTTTAACATTTTGGGTTTACTATTTAAATATCCGTTCCTAATGGAATACTTGAAACCTATATATCTATCTGTATTATATTTCTTATACCTCAGACATTATAATCCATGGTACAGCTCCGAGTCCCACAGAGAAACCACTCACGAAAATCTGCGATAAAAGGAGTTGTAATAAAGAGAATGAAAGTATAATGAAGGATGTGTGGTCATTTGATTATGCATGCAATTCATACCAGAAGTCCAGCTAGTGAAAGTACTCCCATCATAGATTGATAACTTTCGGGTAAACTGTCCTGCTTTCAATAAAACAGCAAGCTATGTTACTAACTTCTGAAGTAAATAACTCAAATGTACGACTAGAAATGGGGAAATGGAAACATGTCGAAAGAAAATTAAGAAAAACAAATGGATGTCAAAGCAGTGTAGACCTTTAAGAAGAACACGATTGCAACAAGGAAGGTACTCGCGGTAGTTAGAGAGGAAGACACCTAGAGAAACAATTTAGATATGATTAACTAGAAGATTGATTGAATATCAGATATTTCCAATATTAATTACAAGGACTTTCAATGCTTACAATAAGAAGAATCCTGCGACCAGCTTTGTCCACCAAAGTTGCTGACACCCCAGTAACAACGACCTTTACACAAATATACGAGTCTTAAGAAGGCTAGTGAATGTTACGAATATTGGGATTCATATTTGTTCTTGATTTTTTTTACAATCTTACCTGGATAAGCCCAATAGCAAATGTTGCAATTTTACCCGATGAAACACCTATTCAAATTTGAAAGCGTAAATTCAAAAAAAAAAAAAAAAAAAAAAAAAAAAAAAAAAAAGGAATGATTCAGCATTTTAATTTGTCTTAGAAACAACATGATTTAAATAACCAGCAATGGATGAATGAACGTGAACTCATAATATGTGGCATAAACAACTAATGATAAGCTGGTAAAGTTAGGGGCTATAAGTGTTCCATAAACCAATGGTCCGCCCAATATCAGATATTTTCATCCCGTATCATACATGAATAAAAATTGCAAAGTTACAACATTAAAAAATGAACATTCTTTAGTTAGTAACTTATTTCGGTGAGTACTATGACGGTTTTTAGCTTAAAAGTTGAAACCTTACCTGCAGCTTGAAAAATGCTGCTCGAATAGAAAAGAACACCATTGATACCACTTAGTTGTTGGAGCATGAGCAACCCAATTCCAACCTTTAAATAACACCAGGGATTTCTTAAAATCACCATTATACGAGGAGAATCTAAACGAGCGATGGCAAGTGAGTGGTGAAGATATTCGTTACCATCAAAGGGTACCAATAGCGTTTTCTCTTGATCTCCGAAAATCGAAGGACGGTTCTTTTGCCTGATGAAGCTACAGATTTCTGAGGAAAACATCCAGAATAAATAAAAATCAGATATTAGATGTAACGAGGTTGAAATGCACACTTATAACAAAAACTACATATCCAGAACAGGGGTACCTTAATCTCATTTATTTCACATGTGATATCTGTCTCAAATCCCCTTAAAACTTGCAAAGAAGTTTCGAAATCTTCATTCAAGCCCATTTTAGCCTAGATAAATAAAAAATCAAGATTGCATATATGAATCCGAAACAATCATGATTGAAAAAAAAAAAAAGGACAGGCTCAAATCTCGTACCAACCAACGAGGAGACTCTGGAATAAAAAAGAGGCCAGGGATCAAGATTGTGCATGGCAAAATTCCTACAAGTGAAATTATCAATTAGTAACATACAAGCATAAAACGAGATCCTCAATATTTGTGATTCAAGTTGTTCATAATTACGTCTTAATGTTAAATATGAATCACACTTGTGTGGGTTCTACATTTCAATTATAAATAAATTTTACTTACATTTACATAAGTAGAATATCTCACCTATAACTGCAAGCACTCTCCAATGTACGAAAAGCCCCAACAGATACACCAACATGATTCCAATTGTGACTGAAAGCTAAATGAGATTGCAAACTAATGAGATTAAATTTTGGCATGCTTTTAATTGATCGGTGTAGCCAAATAATTAGAACAAGTAGGCAAAAAAACTCCCAACCTGATTTACAGATCCAAGGCTTCCCCTTAAGTTCTGAGGTGCAATCTCTGCTATGTATACTGGCACCTACAAATGTTTAAACAAGATTAAACACCACAGTCATATCAATCGTAAACTACTAATATTCTAACAATGCATTACTGCTCAATTGGAATTACTGTGTAAGAGATTATGCCGACACCAAACCCTTCCAACAATCTTCCCATGAACAAGAACGACGAGCTCTGCACGGCATACAAGGTGGAGCCACAATGACTAGCTTGATTTCAAAATATTTTATTTTATACAAATTATACAAAATTATAAACATTCAACAACCAAAAAAAGGCGAGCGGATACTCACTTTGGCAAATGAAATTGCAAGCCAGCCGATGATATTCGGAATTGCGGCAATTATGAGCGACTGCGTTTCAACAAGTCGATTGCGACATAAAATATAATATTCATTGATATTGAAACCAAATTTAAAAAAAAAAAAAGCACCAACAACAAATTAAAGCAAACTTTTCATACCCCTTTCCGTCCAACGTATTCAGCTATCTGCCCACTTGCTATGGCACCAACCATTGCCCCAACATTTGCCAATGAACCAAATATCGAGAACTTTTCAAGAACAAAGTATAATTAAAATGAGTACCAAACATGGATTAAAGGCTGGGAGGACCACAATTTTAATCAAAACCCAGGAAGAAATCTATGAATACCTACCTCGGTGATGGTGAGACGAAGATCTTTAATAATGTCGGATTGGGTAGGATTAGAGTATCCACACTGATAATCAACCTCAAAGTTATTTACATCATGATTGCGAAAAATGAGAGAAAAACACAAATAAATTGAAGGGATGAGAGGCGCACGGTGAAACCGAATTGGATGGGGCCAAGGGCGACAATGAGGACGCAGAAATAGACGGAGATGGACTCGCGCAGGAACTGGGCGGAGGAGTTCATGATGCTGGATTGGCGGGAGCCCAAGCCCGACATGCGGTACCAGCTTCCGGTGTGCAATAGGGGCTTGCGCAGCCCATCGTCGGCGGCGTCCGTACTCATTCACCACGGCGTTTTTTCTTTTT